AGCTTTCTCTCACACACACCATTAGGGGGCAACATGCAAGAAGAAATGAGCAAGAGAACCTTATTAGGGGGAACGGCAAGAACGCGGCCGGACCCACAGCCAGACCACCGGAAAAACACAAGAGAGACAAAGGAAAGGAGAAACAATGTAAGAGATTTTGAAGTTAAAAAGCAACAGATCTGAGCCAAGGATGTCTTCTTAAAGAAGATAACACTCCCTCATAAAACTCACACAGAGAGATACAGAGAGAGAGATGAGAGAGAGAGAGAAGTAAACAAGTTCAGGGCTTGTGTGTGAACAGCATTAAAACTTCTCTGCTCAGTTTCTGCTTCCTCTATTTCAGAGTTAGAGCAAGAGTTTTGTGTGTGTGTGTGTGTGTGTGTGTGTGTGTGTGGGAGTGTGTGTATTTGTGGGAGTGTGTGTGTGTTTATGAGAGAGAAAGAGTGAGGAGAGAGAAAGGAGAAACACTCGCTTCTATTTCGGCTTTGGGGCTTTATTTATTGGTTTATCTTTTTTCTTTTCTTATTTATTTTTTACCCTAAAGTTTTATCATACTATATTAAATTTTAAAAAATTATTTTCAACTTTTATTAATAATATTTGGGCTTTTAGGCTTGTGGCTTGGCTTGGCTTCAATGAAAGCCGTTGGGGTTTTCTTGGCTCGGCTCGGCTTAACTCAACTAGTCAGCTAGGGTTAACCATGGTTAGATAGAAAAACAAAAATCAAACGGAAATATTTATCTGTCGATTTATTACCAGCTGATTCTGAAGAAGTTGTTTGTCAGATTTTCGAAGTTGGTTGACACAATAAATTGATTGTGGATTTTAATTATATTTATATTATTTACTATATTAAAATATAAAATTATAAGAAAATGATAGTACATACTGTACAGTGCAGATTTCTGCAATTGGGTATACGTATTTATCATATTTACGAAAATACCTTCCCCTCTGATTTAATATATACCTAGATTTTGTGATGGGACATTTAGGGGATGTTTGGTTATGTTTCCAAAACGAATTTCTAGTTTTCAAAATTTCTGATGGAAAAAGTAGATTATTGGTTTTTGTGTAGAAAATGGGAATATGTTTGGATGAAGGTGTATTTTTAGTTTTATGTAGGTGTAGAAATGAGAATATGTTTGGTTGTGGTGAATTTTCTCTACGAAAGTACGTGCAAAAGTAGAATATAATGATTGATGATGATGATAGTGATGATGATGATGATTTATATTATAATAATAATAATAATAATAATAATAATAATAATAATA